GTATCAAAAGAAGATGGAAGGAATACAGAGTCACTGTACCAAAAAGAACTGGTTGATGGTCAAACTATCTCAGGAGGTAGCATATGATCAAGAACCAATGGTACTGAACGAAGAAGTTCAAGGTACACTGAAGGAATTGGTGAAAAACAATGCTTCTAGAATTGACAGAATACCCACTGAGAGGTTCCAATAAAGGGATATAGCACTGGAGGCACTTACTTATTTATGCCAAGAAATCTGGAAAATAGCTACCTGGCCAATCAACTGGAAGAGATCCATATTTGTGCCCATTCCAAAGAAAGGTGATCTAACAGAATGTGGAAATTATTGAACAATACCAATATCAAACGCAAGTAAAATTTTGCTGAAGATAATTAAAAAACAGTTGTAGCAGTATACTGACAGGGAACTTAAAGAAATGCAAGCTGGATTCAGAAGAGAATGTGGAATGAGTGATATCACTGCTGATGTCAGATAGATCTTGGCTGAAAGCAAAGAATACCAGAAATATGTTTGCCTGTATTTTATTGACTATGTAAATGCATTCAACTATACAGATCATAATGAATTATGGATCACATAGTGAAGAATAGTGTATAGTCAGTAACTACAACCCCCCAATATGGCTCTCAGATTCTATCTTGTTTAGCCACGCTTATAAGAACTACAAGCCATTTCCTTTCTCCTTCCATGTCAAGTACCCCTCTGCTGCTCCCTGTCAGGTATTAACCACCTTTTCTGTAAGGTATTAACTCATCCTTAAAATAGTTTTAAGCAATAAAACTTGCTAACTGGCAGCATCTTATTAAAACATACACAGGTGGTAGATGTAGGGCACTGCCTGGGCCCTCTTCCCACTGCCACCAAGTCTGAAGCCAGTCACACAGCCCCCATCCCCAATTCCTCAAACTCAGATATAAGTATCCCCGCAAAGTGGAAGGGAGTTTGCGGTCATCTTGGATCCGCTCTGGCCGACCGCCACTGGATACTGAATTGCTAGCAACACCTGTAAGCCTGCTTTCTTTTATCTTTTAAATCCTCTCTCTCCTGATTCTCTTTCTTCCTGTTCTGAATAAACGTTCATGTCTCTGCTTATGCCTCCAGGAAAGTTTTTCAGACTGTCACTACCTATTCAGGGGGAAGTTTTAACCTCCTTATAAAGTTCCCACAACAGATGGGAAGTCCAGAACATTTAACTATGCTCATGAGGACCCTATACATACACTAAGAGGCTGTCATTCGGACAGAACAAGGGATACTGCATGGTTTAAAATCAGGAAGGGTGTGTGTCAGGGTAGTATCCTTTCAACATACTCATTCAATCTACATGCTAAGAAAATAATCCAAGAAGCTGCAGTATATGAAGAAGAACATGGCATCGGGATTGGAGGAAGACTTATAAACAACCTGCAATATGCGATGACACAATCATGCTTGCTGAAATTGAAGAGGACTTGAAGTACTTACTGATAAAGAGTAAAAACTGCAGCCTTCAGTATATATTACATTTCAGCATATAAAAAAAACAAATAATCTCACAAATGGACCAATAACTAACATCACGACAACAGAGAAAAGACAAAAGTTGTCAAGGATTTTATTTTACTTGGGTCTACAATCAATGTCCATGGAAGCAACAATCAAGAAATCAAATGATGTACTGCTTTTGGCACATCTACTACAAAGACCTCCTTAAAATGTTAAGAGGCAAAAATGTCACTTTTATGACTAAGGTACACATGACCCAAGCCATGGTATTCTCAATTGCCCCCTATGCATGTGAAAACTGGACAATGAATAAGGAAGGCTGAAGGAGAATTGATGCATTTATATTACGGTGTTGGTGAAGAATACTGAAAATACCACAGAATGCCAGAAGAACAAACAAATATGTCCTGGAAGAAATGTAGCTGGAATGCTCCTCAGAAGTGGGAATGGTCCAACTTCCTCTCATCTACTTTGGTCATGTTGTCAGAATGGACCATTCCCTAGAGAAGGATATCATGCTTGGTGAAGTAGAGGGTCAGTGGAAAAGGGGAAAACCCTCAATGAGATAGATTGACATAGTAGCTGCAACAAAAGGTTCAAGTATAGCAAGGATTGTGAGGATGGTATAGGACTGAGCAGTATTTCATTCTGTTGTACGTGGGGTCACCGAGTCAGAGTCTACTTGACAGCACCTAACAACAACATTCTAATTATGCAGATGGGTATATTATCTAAGAATTTCATTTTGAAATATTAAAGGAAACATTATAAAATATTTACTATAGAGAGGAGGTGTTGGTCTGACAGATGAAATCACTACCCTATATGATCTGGCTGGCCCTGTTCAACTTTTTAATTCTAGGTCCTACCATTCATCCTTTCACTCACTAAACTTCAGTCTGTTATTCTTTCTGTTTCTCCCCAAGGTCACTCTTATCTTTGTACTTGTTCCTTCTGCTTGGAATATTCTTCCCCCAAATCACTGAATGGCTCACTTCTTTGTAACATTTAAGTGCCATTTCATTTAGGTCTTAAGGGAGGCTTTTCTTGGCTATCTTTTTTCCTGCAAATCATTCTTTATCATATTAGTCTAATTTATCTTTGCACAAATCAATTATCTAAGTTTACTTTATCTGCTTATTAACTATCTATTTTCCCCACTAGAACGTGGGCTCCATAAAAGCAGGAGTCATGTGTGTCTTGTTCACCGCTGAAGTCTTGGTACCCAGGTTAGTCCCTGATACACAGAGTAGGCACTTCATATATAATTGCTGAATGAACGAAATCTATTTTCTATGTACTGTTATCTAAAAGGAGCTCTGGTGGCATAGTTCCTAAGGCATTTGACTACTAACCAGAAGATTGGCGGTTTAAACTCACCAGCCACTCCATGGAAGGAAAACTGGACAATCTACTTCTGTGAAGACTGACCACCTTGGAAACCCAAAGGGGGTGGCTATGAGTTGGAATTGACATGATGGCAGTGAGTTTGTTTTTTTTTTAGTTTTGGTTATCTAAAAGATCATCAGATATAACTACAGATTGATTTGGGATTACATGCAGTCAGGAAAACATTCTAAGACACTTTAATTCATGTCAGACTTGGAATAATCTAAATGAAACTCTAAGAGCAGATAGGCTTTATCTTTTGCATTGTAAGTATAACAGCAGAATCCTCCTGAAAAAAAGTCATAGAAGATAGGGTTTTCGAAACAAAACCCAGAGCCATCAACAATAGCTATATAAATTTCCTGATTACAGGTTAAATGTATTTATTTTCAGTATGATATTTTCTTAGGTGTGTCAAACATTTCTAACTTCATAGAAAAACACTGATGTAACAATCAGATATGTCTAGCAAAAGGGAATATACCCATAACCATATATAACCATATATAAGTCTGGCTAATAATATTTCTACATACATAATTATATGTGCTGTAAGAATGTCCATATAAATAGAGCTAACAGGGGGCAAAGTTATGATAACTTTTTAGCCACAGCTAAGAGCAAGTTGTTGGATTTGTGGGTTCGGGACCATGGTCACAGGGGACATCAAGCTCAATTGGCATAACATAAAACACAAAAACATTGTTCTATATCCTACTTTGGTAAATAACAACGGGGGTCTTAAAAGCTTGCAAGCAGCCCTCTAGATACAACAATTGTTCTTTCCTTGTCTGGAGACAAGAAGAATGAAGGAAACCAAAGACTTGTGGAAACAATTAATCCAAGAGACTAGTGGACCATGAGAACCTCAGCCTACATGACCATGAGACCAAAACTAGATGGTGCCTGGCTAACACTGTCAACCACTAGGAAAGGGATCAGTGTAGCAGATTCTGGATAGAGTGGGAGAAAAATGTAGAACAAAACTGAAAACCATAAAAAAAAAAGACCAGACTTATTGGTCTGATAGAGACTGGTGAAACCTGAGACTATGGCACACTCCCATGGCTTCCAGCCAAGCGACAGGCATGTAAAGTGAACATTTACACTAAGTAGGTATGTTCTTTAGAATAATCAATTGTGGGAGATCTGAAGGGCAGTATTTGCACAGGGAGATAGGTCAGAGGACAGGAATGCATAGGAAGGAAGGACA